CTTTGTTACCACAAAAAGTGCTGCTGTGATTCTCTTAGGGTACACGGGGCTTTACTCCTTGTCATTGGCCTCTTTGGTATGCCTAGCAGCAGAATCTCTGGGTCAAAGGGTAGGGACAGTTTAGCCACTTCATTTCCATAATTCCAAATTGCTTTCCACGGTGGTTTTACCAGCAGAACATTAGCATGCCTGTTCTTCTACAAGCCTTCTAACACTGACCATCGCCATCTTTAATCATCTTTGGCTATTTGCGGCTTGTGAGGTGAAACCTCAGGATTTTTTGGATTTGCATTTCTCTTGTTATTAGTGATTGGAGCATCGATTGCAATTCTACTGACAACTACTTTTTAAGAGGTAATTGGCAAACCGACAGCTATTCATTGGGGGACAAGAGGTGTGGGGTATGAGGTTCTGATGGCTGAACCATAACAAGAACAATGGGATGTTTAGCCTGGAGAGAAGACATCTGGAATAACAGGCTGGTTTCTATCAAGGCTTTGACTTGGTATCTTTTGTGAGACTTCCAGGCATTCTGGTTAGTAGAATATAAACTCCTTGTAGACAGGGACCATTTTTGTTTTATCTCTGTGTCTGTAGCAACAAGCACGGTGACTTGCATACAGTAGGCACTTAATAAATGCTTACTGAAAATTGTCAAATAGTTAGCAGATAAGGAAACAGAAGCCCAAATAAGTTAATTGACTTGTCCAGAGTCACACAACTAAGAAATGTCTGAGGCAAGATTTGACTTCAAGTCTAACACTTTGTCCATTGTGCCATGCTGCATATAACAGGCACTTAATACATGCTTATTGTATGTTGTCAAGTTCCATAACAATTTTGAACAAGCAACTATGACCAGCAGCATTTTAGGTTTCTGTTATGAGGTTACGAGTAAAGCTTGAATGTTATGATGTTGTTGAAAGGGTTTCTGTTCATGTACAGGTTGGACTCAATGACCTCAGATTTCTTCCAACTCTGAGATTCTGAGACTCATATTGGCACTTTGAGAAGCAATAATTGATGCCTTTTTTCTTTAAGAGAGATAATTTTGACTTCATTTGTAAGATAAAAATTTGAGGAAGCATACACATTTCACACACAGTCAAATTAGAGGGTTGAGAAATATAGTCGTTCAAATACTTCCCTGAGAGCAGCCTGATAATTCAGTATGAGACATAAGCCTTTGGTGGATAGAAGGTGATTCTGCCTTTTCTCCCGCTACGTCACTCACTCTATGTTTCAGGCAGACTGGCCCACCTGCTGCTCCCCAGACTTACACTTTTGTCCAGGATGTTTCTCCAGGGCCTAGCATTGACTCCCTCCTTACCTCCATTTGAAGCAAGGCTCAGACCTCAGGCTGCTTTAAGTTTGGTGACCCGAAGTTGGGAGGGATCAGCACCAAACACTTCTCAACAGGCTGGAGCATTAAACAGGGATCCCCAAAGAGAAACAACAGGGATATAAACATGAAGTTTTGAACTTGGGTTTAAGCAAGCTACTTCTCAGCTACAGGACAGGAAGCAATGGCTAGAGAATAATATGTTTAAAAAATAAAGATCTGGGTGTTTTAGTGGAATGCAAGCTCAGAAGGAGTCAGCTGAGTGACGCGGCAGCCCCCCCAGAGCTGGTGGATCTAGACCGGCTGTGCTGGGGAATGGTCAATGACCAGCTGCACCCACCGGACACTTTTCAGTCTCATCTGCCTTATCAGCGTTTTCTCCCTCACTTTCCAAAGTCTAGAAAACCAAGAAAACAATAAATCAAGACCTGACTGGCAGTATCTATAGATTTCCACGGTATAAATGCTCACACTGAAAATTTCATCATCGTCTCTCTCGAGCCCTCCAAACTGACTCTAGCTCACCCCTGGATCTTACTGTTGTTGTTCAGTCGTTTTTCAGTTGTGTTCGACTCTCTGTGACCCGATTTGGGATTTTCTTGGCAAAAATGCTGGATTTCCTTCTCCAGCTTATTTGACAGATGAGGAAACTGAGGCCAAAAAGGTGAAGTGACTTGCCCAGGGTCTCACAGCTAGGAAATATCTTGAGGCCAGATTTGAACTCAGGGAGATGAGTCTTCCTGACTTCAGGCTCAGCACTCTATCCACTGTGCCACCTGGCTGCTCACCCATGGATCTAGGGTTACTTTAATAGGCATAAGTTCCAAGAACAAGGAGGTGACAGTCCCTCTGTTCTCTGTCCTGACGAGACCTCATTCGCACTATTATGTTCAATTCTGAGCACCTTGGGTTAAGTAGGTCATTGATAAACCCCAGAGAGCCTGGCCCTGGAGCTGGGAAGACCAAGACTTGAACTCTACACATAAGGGCTTGGGGCCTCTAGGCAAGTCATTCGACCTTTCAATGGCTCAGGAAACTCTTCAACTCTCAATTGCAGAGAAGGTACCAACCTACATTGATAGCACTATCCCTATTGATAAATTGGAGGGACTCCCTAGGAAGGTAATTAAGATAGTGAGAAAGGCCTTGAGTCCATGCCATATAAGGACTGGCTGAAAGAACTGGGGATGTTTAGCCTGGAGAAGAGAGGACTCTTAATTAGGGGGGACATGACAAGTGTTTTCAGGGATCTGATGGGCTGTCCTGTGGCAGAGGGATTAGCCCGTGCTCTGCTTGGCCCAGAGGGCAGCAGGAGCAGTGATTGATAGACACTACAAAGAAACACTGAACAGAATAGAAACTCTGCCTAATCTGTATCATGGTCTTTCTCCAAAGTCCTAGAGCAGAGTAGATTTGCGAGTTTAGGATTTAACACGGTAAATTCTATACATGAAACTGCAGAGAATTTAAAATGTCCACTTGAAAAAAAAAGTGTTCTGAAACGTGGCGTTTGAGGGTAGGCGAGATGGGAGGGAAGGGGTGGCACAGTGAAAGTTTTGTTAGTTTTATTGCATAGCAGACTGAGAAATCAATACAAGAAAAGTCATTTGGGAATATAGTTAAAAGGCCCTCGGATTCTCAGAGTTGGAAGGCACTCCCAGCGCCATGCAGCCCAACCTGTTACTGAGCAAGACTGTCATCCAAAACCTACCCAAGAAGTGGTTACCCCACTTCTGACAGAAGGCCTCCTCCAATGAAGAAGGGGCCCAGGGACCCCAGGCTCTGAGACAGACTGTTCCACTTTGGAACAGCTCTCTTAGGAAGTTTTTTCTGGCATCCAACCCAAGTCTGCCTCTGCACCTCATGTTCATAGTTCCTGGTCCTGTGCTCCGGACAAAAATGCTTTCAGCACATCAATTGGTGAGGTATTTTAAAAATTACTTAGATCCTTTGGTGGGTCCACAATTCCATTGATAGGGATGCACAACTCACAACCCATCCATGCGTTCCCATCTTGGGTCTTGGCCATACTCTTCTATAAATCCTTCACAGGGCTTCACCCAACATATCCAGACCTTCCTCTAGTTCTCTTACCTTGTGCAGATACCAGAAGAGCACACTTTCCATCTCTTTGGCCTGTCTTCTTTCATGGTTATGCATCTCTCGGATGACACATTTGTGCTACTTTTCTTGTATAATCCTTGGTTACGGTAGCCTTCTCTGGACGGCCTTGTGCTGCTGTTTTTTGTATCATCCTCACCTTTTAATTCTTGCCAAAAACTATGCCCCACCATCATGGGCTGTTTTTCTAAAGGACAGAGTCCATGCAGAAGTGAGATTTCCTACAAAGGGTGAAGAGCTGTAGGTGCTCCCCTTTATGGATGAGGCTGATTGCAGCAAGCTTTAGAACATTGCAGAGACACCCCAAATGAGATCCATCATCATTGCTCAAGAGGTCTCACTATACACACTGGAAAAACCAAATGCCTATCGTCCAGGCAGCGGGATAGAAAATAGTGGGTCCGTCAATGCATGTATCTTGAATAGACACTGTACTGGGCTCAGAGTTGACTGGGCAATTGCATGGAGCTTTCGATGACCCCGCATTTTCCCCTGAAACAAAGATTCATCTTTTAAAAGCTCGTATTCTTCAAGTTATGGTGAAGACCGCAAGTTGTGGTTTCAGAATCATGGTTTCTAAAGAATTGGAATCACCCAAAAGGCAGAGTTTAAAATGAAAAAGACTGAAAATCAGGCCTCTCAGAATGGTCTCTGCCTCCATTCTTGGAACTCTGGAGAAGACACAGTTGCATAATAATCCACGATAATTGTCTCTTCAAAAAAAGGATTAAAATTAAATTCAAATTTAAAACTTTTTGGTTGGATGCTTTCTTCTAGTAAAATGCTACTGAATGTTCTGTATTTGAAAAGTTTCATGGAAATAATTTCCTGCTTTTTCCTGATTGGTTTTTCTCCTTTATTTCTGAAAGCCGAGCTCATTATGGGAGACATAGTTACAGTGTGCAAAGGATAGACGCATTGCTCCATTTGTTCAAACTGTGTTTTTTAATTGGGCTTTTTATTTATAAATGAATAGTGTAACAGAGTAATTATTTAGCCTTAATCTTAACACTCAGTACTGTAGGTGCAGAGTTTTTGTCTCTTTTATGATACCCTGCACAAATGGAATGACTTTGTGATAAAAGAATTCTTTCATACTCAACAGTACACCATTTGTACCATGTTTTGATTACATTTTATATACTGTACCATTTTCCACATACTTATTGGCGCCTTCGAGATTCAAAAGGGAAACCTTATTTAACTAAACAAAATTGATTGCATTCTGATAAAATATAATTTCTTAGCCTCAGTAAAAGGGTTTCTAACAATACTTAAAGAAATTTGGTTTTTCCAGAAAACCTTTTATTCTAAGAGAATACTGTTGAATGGTCTGTAATCTCTGAGTGTTTCCTACGGACCCATTCAACTTTTCACTGAAAAGTATTTGCAGTGTATTTTTAAGTTGCTCCTGTGCTCCATAGACCACCCACTCAGCTATTGAAAGTTCTTAAGAAGAAAAAAAAAAAACACATTCTTCTTAAAGTTTTCTATTCTGGGACCCACATTTGAAATCAACACGTCGTTTCATTTGCAGGGACAGTGGCGGAATGGTGTATTCAATGGCCAAGGCCTCATGATTCATTGCTCTGGCACCATCTACGATGGCCTGTGGATCAATGGCTATCCTGCAAGTATGTCATTTGTTTTGCTTTTCATTTATTAAATAGATTCAGTGGATTGCTTTGGTTGTCCCTCTCTCAATTAATATGGCTTATTGGTTGTGTTCACATTTCTGTGTGACCCTGTTCTAAATTAGCCTGATGGGCGTAGGGTTGGAGCTCATGCCAGTACTTGTTAGATTAAGTGGGCATTCAAGGGAGTGGGGGAGAAGAGACTATTTCTAGAATTAAATTAGATGAAGAGCAGTTTGCTAATTTCACTTTAAAGCAGGAGCATGGTACAGCCCAGGTTCCAATGTCTGTCCCAATGAGATGTGACCTGCCTATCTGCAGTCTGGCCAGCACACGAAGGAGAGAATCATTCTGGAAATAAGCAGCTTGGATCACAATTGGATCATGAGGCTCCACAGACCAGGGTGCAAACTAGTCTGATTTGTCTTGTAGATTTTCTCTGTGAATTGGCTTCATCTCTGTGTTCTTGAACACCCTCCTGCTTTTCGCTCAACTATTTTATTAGAGCAAAATGTTTAAGAACAGTGAGAGAGGTAGAAAGAACTGCACCGTGAAACGCAGTTAAAATGCTAACAGCATGATGAGTTTTCTTCCAGTCAAAGCCCCTGGCCATTTTCAGTGGGGCCTGCAAGGAGGCAGGAGGGGAGAGCTCCCAGACTGGGGGGGGGGCGGTGAACTGAAAGTCAGGGAGAGGGGAGAGAGGGACATCAGCTGGATCAAACTCTCGGGCCCTCCCCTCCCTGCTGCCCAAGAGTAGGCCTCAGAACCCTACTCCTCAGCACTGTGCAAACGCATTCCATGGATCTTTGGCGTCCAGCACCGCAGATAAGAAGGCAGGGCAGAAAAGTCAAGTGTTCTGCAGGGGAAAAATCTGCTGCTAGTGATATGTTAAGGCAGTGTTTTCATTTCTATTGTATCAACTTAACTCAAATAGGAACAGTGAATATCTTTCAAATTAATTTCTTTTAATTAATTAATTAATTTCTTTAAAAATTTCTTTAAAAAAACTTTTATAATTATATGTATATATATCTTGAGTATGTTAAGGCAGGTTAACCCCTAGATATTTTATGCATTTTCTACTTTTGTGTTTGCTTTTTAAAAATTCAATTAAAACGTTTTTAATCAATAAAAATCTGCTTTCTGTCCCTTCCGCCTTCTCTCCCCTCCACCGAGAAAGAAAGAAAAACAAAATCTCAGTTACAAACATATATAGTCTAAGAAGACAAATTATCTCATTGTCCATATCCAAAAGAAAATGTATGTCTCAATCTGCATTGAGAGTTCGTCACGTCTCACTTAGGAGGCATACTATGAAGTATTAAGTAGGGGATGTACTATGGAAAAGGGAAGCAAGGTGGTGCAGTGGAGAGAGCACCAGACTTGGAGAAAGGGAGACCTGAGTTCAAATCCAGCCTCAGACACTTCCTAGCTGTGTAACCCTGGGCAGGTCATTTCACCTTGTTTGCCTCAGCTTCCTCATCTGCAAAATAAGCTGGAGGAGGAAATGACAAACCACTTTAGTATCTTTGCCAAGAAAACCCCAGATGGGATGATGAAGATTCAGATACAATTGAAATGACTGATCGTCAAAAGTACTATGAAAAAAAATAGTGCGTTACAGAGTTAGGAGACCTAATCTTTCTATAAATAACATGTGAAGAGCCTTTTTTATATTTGAAAGTAAAGGTTAGTATTAATTGTCCGACTTACTGCCTTAGAAATCACAGAATCAGAGACACCAAGTCTCAGAGTTGGAAGGAAGGAAGGAAGGAAGGAAAGAAAGACTTATTAAATACAAAGTTCCAGACACTAAGTGCTAAATATACAAATACAAGTAAAAAGATAGTCCTTGCCCTCAAGGAGCTTACATTCTAAAGAAGGAAGATGACACACCGAAAGGGAAACGAACAGGACCATCAAGGGAATAAAGTCTGGTTCTGCTCCCGCAGACGGGAGTGGACCTTAAAGAGGGCTCTTCTTGGTTGAGAAGGCTGCAGGAATACTTGAATGTTCCTGAGCAAGTAGGCCTCAGGTACTAAGGAAAGTCCTTATATGAGACTGCCTCAGGCCCATGGTTTTGAAGTCCCAAAGTCAGGAACAGGGCCGGGAGGAGGACACAAAGGCCCAGACTCAAACCAGTATCACTTTTTTTTTTTTTTTTTTGGTGAGGCAATCAGGGTTAAGTGACTTGCTCAGGGTCACACAGCTAGTAAGTGTCAAGTGTCTGAGGCTGGATTTGAACTCAGGTCCTCCTGACTGCAAGGCCAGACCTCTATCCACTGCACCACTTTGCCCCCAGTATTACTTTTTACAATGTATTCAACAAATGGTCATCCAGCCTTTGCTTGCAGATGTCCAGCAGGGGAAGCCCACCACCTCCTGAGGCCCTTCATTCCATTTACAGACCTCTGATGGTTAGTGGCATACCCAGTATAGGCATGGCCCACCCAGTATTACAAATTGGATCTCTCTGTTAGGTGAAAGAATGTTACCATATCAGTTAGTTCCATAGTTAAAACCTCTGATTTATGTCCTAGGCCTGTAGCCAACTTATGTTAAATTATTATTTACATTTTAGAATGGTTAGGTTTTAATACATTAATGGCACCATTATGAAATGTAATGATTTAGAATAATGTTAGGTAGAATATTCTTGTATCATACATTTATAATAATAATTTTTGATATTTATATAACACTTTAAGGTTTACAAAACACTTTACATCATTATCTCATTCAATCCTACAACAGTCCTATGGTATAGGCCAATGTAGATTTATCAGTGACTCTGGACGAGCCTCTCAGTTTCTCCATCTATAAATGAAGGGGTTGGACAGAATGGCCTGTAGTATCAATTCCAACTAAAAATATGACTGGGTTTTTTTGTAAGTCATATTTTATTTTTTCCTATTACATGTAAAGATAGTTTTCAACATTCATTTTTTATAAGATTTTGAGTTCCAAATTTTTCTGCCTCTCTTCCCTGCCTAAGATGGTAAGCAATCTGATATAGATTATACATATACAATCATAACAATATGTTCTTGTGATCTGTGACTTAGCCACGTCTTAGACAGCCATCAGAGGCTCTGAGAACTTAAGTGTTCTTTAAATGTCAGAGGTAGAATTTGAGCCCAAATCTTTCTGCCTTCAAGTTCATACTCCACTATGCCAATGGGATTGTTACTACAGTTATTATCCCCATTTTGCAGATGAGGAAATATGAAATCCTAAGTAGATTCAATTTCTTTTATTGAAGAAAAAAGGGGGACAGCTAGGTGTACGTTGGCCCTAGAATCAGGAGGACCTGAATTCAAATATGGCCTCAGACACTTGCTAGTTGTGTGACCCGGAATAAGTCACTTATCCCCAGTTGCCTCTGGGGAAAAAACAAAAAACCCTGCCATCCTTTAATCCAAAAGACATCTATTTAGATGACAAGGTTCAAAGGTACCACAGAAAGAAAACACATGCTAGAAACAAAACAAAGGAAATATCATGGTTCTCTGGTCTTCTGAGAATACCTGCCAATTCCTGCCTTTGTGTAGCTTGTGGCGTTGCAGGAGACAGCCCTTGCTGCAAAGAGAGCTTCGTAATCATTGTGAGTGGCCATAAATCTGAGCTCAGTAACGCAAATTATTTTACTCATGTTGATGAAACAATCGAAGGAGCTCTGAGCAGCGCTCTGTCTTCAGAAACAGCCTCAAGTTGCTGACTCAGATGGAGAAGATGCTATGTCTGAATCCAATCCAAGTCAGTAAGATGTACTAGAATGTTCCACTCAAATGGTAAATCTAACTACCTTTCATGCTGTTCACCTTCAGCATTTTCAACATGTATTAAATCAGCAAATCTTTGCAATCTATATTTAATATCCATTCAGTTGTGCAGTTGAAATGCTATATATAATTTTGCCAAACCCAATAAAGCAACATTGTAAAGTCATGGTTTTAATTTTAGAGGTATTTGTTAGGTTGTTTTAATATGCTTAGTATTAAATTTTTTTTAAAAAATCTTCTCTAGCTGAACTAGCTCTTGTTATCACTAAGGAGTGATGCATTGTTTTTCAACTCTGAAAAGACACTCAAAACTTTGTGCATTTCTCAGCAGTTCCTCTAAGAAAGTATTTGGTATTCTTCCTAATAAGTTAGATTAGAGTTGTTATGCCTTTCTCACATGTGTGGAAGTTTTGGCATTATTAGAAGGGTGAAAAATCACTACTATACCTCATACATTGCTGATAGAATTGCAAACTAGTGGACTCAAAGAAAAATCTGGCAGCACTCTAAGAGTAATGACACTGAGGATATCTTTGACCTAATATTCTCCTTTGGGGGAATAGAACATAAAAACATTACAAAAAAGAGGGGAGGCGAACTGTTCAAAGCAATTTAAAGGGAATCAGAGAAAGCAAACCTAGAATATCAGTGACATGGCTCACATAAAAACACATGTACACGAATATAGGGGTAGACAAATGACTGAAGAGCAATGTAAGGGGACACAAAGGGAGGGAGTCACTAATAATTTGTCATAGCTATCTGCGTGTCAAAGCGAATTTTTTTGAAAAGTTTAACCAGTTACAAATAAAATGATTTCTGTTATTATTTAAGGTTAAGTTACTTCTTTAAAAAAGGAGACAATGCATTAATACACCCAAGAACTGGGCCCAACTCTTGTTTCTCCCTCATCTAATAATGCTGTGGAATCACATTTCCTCTCTGGGAGCCATCCATTAGACGGATAAGAAATTCTAATGTGAGACAGTTGAGCTCGGTATTACAATCTAAATGAGCACTTATCCTTCTCTGTTTTAGCACAAGCCTCAAAGATTGTGATTTTGGGTCCAAAAGTGATTAAGGTGGTGCAGGGCTCTTCGATCACCTTGAGCGTTCAACTCCAGACTGATGATGGGGAAATTGTCGAAAGTAAGAGCATCTTCAATGATTATGGATGTATATTTTTAAAGTGTCATTCTTCATAAATACCAGCAATGTGAACGAGGGATTATATTTTACCTTCTTTTCCCCCTAACACACTGTGATCTTGGTTTAGAATCTGTCCCACACTCAGTGACCTTTTTCTTTCACCCAAATGAAGAAGCCTTGTTTGGGCTGATGCAATCCAGGGAGCTGGGGGTCAGATCCTAGCTTGGCTACCTGGGTGACCTTCAAAGAGCCACTTCCCCTCACTGGGCCTCAGTTGGACTAAGTGACCTCTCAGGTTCTTTCCAACTATCAATGCTCTAAGCAATTCTTTGGACTCCTTTAATAACTGCACAAAAATAGCAGGTTAAGTTTGAACCCTCATATTGTTGGAGATATCTGTTTTTAAATAAATAAATAAATGAATGAATAAATAAATATTTATAAATAATATATACATATTATATATGTGCATGTGTGTATATATGTATATACACACATATATATGTTTATATAGGCATGGGCATAACTTGGCTTCAGGAGGAGGATTAATTTGCTTTAATTTATGTCTACTTACCACAAATATCCTAGAATGCAAAACAGAGAAGGGAAAGTATTCTAATCAGTGTATCTGTGTGCAAAAGACATGGCTGAGTAAGAGCCGGCTGCCAGTGGCTGAGGCTGCCATGGCAGGGTTTCTAATTGCCCTCATTGGAGGTATTCAGGCCAAGACCAGACATCCATCTGTCAGGGGTGATTTACAAATAATTAAATCAATCCTGCCATGACACAGAGGGATGGACTAGATGACTTCCTATAGGTTCCTTCCCACCCAAATGAGTCAATAATAATTGGAGAGAATTACTGACAGCAAATAGAAAACAGAAACCCTGGTTTCAGGGCAGCTGGGAGTGGGAGTTCTGAGCTGTGTGTGTGGCTACACCCTTTAAATGTGGTGCAGAAAACGGTGTCACCATTTAAAGAGGGCCTGACCCTGTGCTGCTGGGACAGCTGCCTCTTCCACTGACATCACTGGGGGAGTTGGGGGGACTGACTGTTAATAAACTCTTCACAGGAGTGTGTCAGCAGAGTACAGCAAGGTGTCCCCCATGCACATGTCCAAATCCTGTAAGAGCTCCTGAAGGAATTGTTCGGTGACCTGATTATTATTAATGTTCAGCAAGATATGAAATATAGGAACATGTGACTACCAAAGCACAAATGTGTTTGCTGCTGTTGGGAAGGAGGTCCAGCAAACAGGACAAATGAAAGAAGCTTCCCCCTTAGCTGATGAATGCCTTCAGATTCTCCTGTCCCTAGGAGCCATCATGGTAATTACGTCAAACCCTAGAACTTTATACTTTTAAATAAACTATCTAATACCCTCAAAAGGGCTCAGTCTAACTATTCACACTGGAAAAACCAAGTGGATGAAGATTCTCCATTTTGCAAACTATGATATGCAGTTGGATGGACAGCCCAGAGAGCTGGTCCACCAGGACACGTATGTCTTGGGAAGACACTGAAGATAGATAGAGTTTGTCCTAGCATTGAACAAGAAGAGGAGAGCAAATGGGATAACTTTTGGGAAATCATGTGTACAGTTTTATGATCCCCACACTTCTCCCTGAAGCAAGGGCCTTCTCTTTCAGTGCAGTTCTATGGCTGAGTCTTGGAATGCCACAGTCTCCAAAAGAATTAAAGTTCAGGTTCACCAATAGGACAGTGGAGAAGACGGTTCATGTGGGCACTAGCAGGCTTGAACATAGAACAAGTGAGGAATTGCCCAGCAGAAATGGTCCAAAGGGAGTCAACGGAGAAATATATGATGAGAAAAAGCAATGAGCTGGTCCTACAGTGATAATGGATGGACAGGCTGTGTGCCCCGTTGGTATCCATGCAGTGTCAAGAAATCTAAAAGATTATCACAACAAAATGTCATGTTTCCTGCCTAGAAGAGGACAGAAACAAGGGTCACATAGGATGGACAAGCATGGATGGGTTGGAATTTGTATCAGCAGAGAAAGTACCCACCTTTATTAGCTCACATGTCCATTGAAGTGTGTGTGTGTGTGTGTGTGTATATGTGTGTAACTGATTCAGTCCTTAAGGTATCTGTGATCTCAATATAGGTTCTCCCTCTTCTGATGCTGATCCCAAGCCCTCAGTGACAATCCACATGAGCTTCTCTGGACAGACAAACAAACAAACAAACAAAAAAACCCAAAATCTTTCCCTAGGATCACAGTTAGAAAGCTAGAAGAGGCCTCAGAAACCATCACCTCCACCCCCTCTCATTTTACAGAGAAGGAAACAAGTGTATAGATGCAGTGGCCTGCCCAGAGTCACAAAGGCGCTTCAATGCCAGAGCCAGCATTCAGATTCAGACCCTATGACTCCCAAGCTCAGAGCCCTTGCCACTAGACCATGCCGTCTGGTGGCGACTTTCGCGAGCCAGGGTTGAGGCAGTCTTCAGATGACAGACACCCAGAGGCCATCCCTGGCCTGTGCTCATGGCCTTTCCAGGCCCAACTTGGTGGGAGCCGCCAGGGCTTGGTTTCCCATATCCAGGGTCTCCTCCTGCCACAGGAAGGCTTGACGCAAGGGCTTGAGAAGATGATTTGTGGCTCTCGACCAACCGGGCAGAGGACAATTTGGGTTTTTCCCAAGATATTTAAAGTCTTTTCTTTCAAAGTCAAAGACATATCAAGAAGCAGCCCAGGCTCATCTAGATGGCAACAAATCTTGCTTACAAGTGCCTATTAACGTAATTAAGAGAATAAAGTCCTTTGTTGACACTATTTAATAACTCTTACTTACTTTTACTTCCCTGTACAACTTTTAGCCCAGCAGGAGGCTTTTAAAATGAAAACATTTCATTATCTTCTCTATCTCAGGGAAGGTATGAAGCACCAATATGGCACTCTGAGCCAGGGAGACCAACACAGTCTTCCCCGATTTCTTGCTTCAGACTGAGGGACGAACAACGGCTTTTCTAACATGCAGGAGGAACAGGGAAGATCTCTGAGCAAAGGAAACTCAGGCCCTTCAGCCTACTCTTCTCATGAGAAGCTGAAAGGTCCTGTCCTCCTGGTCCCTGACATACCATGGCCTGCATTGAGGACTTCCCTAGGCCACTGCATCCAGAGGGGCTAGCACCTCTGGTGGGAGGGCTGCCGAGCCCTTGTCAGGGCGGCTCGTCCACCTCTGGGGTCTCCCTGGCACTCAGCTCTCATCTGCCGCTCCAAGAAGCTGTAGTATGTGCAGCAACTATCCCCCAGTAAACTGTCTCAGCGGATGGCTAAACCAAGCTGAGGGTAACCTGTGGGCCCAAACTTGTCGGTGAGTTAGGGGGGTGTCTACCCCAAGCATGTGAAGACATCCCCCTGCAAAATGGGCAGATGAGAACAATTAGTTCTAACAGCCACGAGGGCGCCTGAAGCAGGTGCTGTGGAGCGCTCAGAGCTTGGTCAGACATCGAAGATGCCAAGGTCATCCACCACCCCACAAGCCATCGCCAGTCATCTTGACTTTTGTCCTGCCTCTGGATGTTGATGACCCAGGAAGAAAGCGTGTGTCTGAGGACTTTGTGCAACTCTGCCTCACTTAAATCCAATTTGCAGCGAGTCAAGACATCACCCTGCAATGCCATCGGTCCTCTTAGAAGGTGGAGAACGAGCAGCTATTGCCTCTTGACCTGTTTCCTTTCTGTCCCTCACTCTGGACTTCCCAAGTGGACATGCAGAAACAGCTTTGCTCTTTTGGGTGATGTGCTCTGGGGCTCCAATGAAACAGAAACGTCTGAATTCAAAGGGACGCGTGGAAGCTTATTCCATAGCTAACTACTCATTTTTTTCATTCAGAAAATATTTTAAGCAGCTATTGTATGTAAGCATTACCTATAGTAAGGCCCCAGAGAGAGCTGGTCTCAGAGTCCTGAAAATACGAGGTCATGTTCCACCTCAGAAATATATTGGCAGTGCGATCTGGACAAGTCACTTGATCAATTAGTAAGCATTCATTAAGGGCCTGTGTCCTTACGTCATATGTCCCATAAGGATGTTTGTCAGGCACTAGGCTAAACTCCGAGGACACGAGCACAGCGTATGAAACATTTGCTCCTTGCAAAGAGCTTACATTCTAATGTGGGAGACAACAGTTGAGCCACGTGTGTGCACATATATATGTATGTATTCATGATTTTCAGCATGCTACAGATCACAGTGACAGTTGTAACTCGATGGCATTTCAAGTGCCATACATCTCACTGTACCGCAACATTTTATTTTTATTATCAGGGCATACCCATCTTGTCAAAACGAGAAAAGAAGAGGGAGGGAAATTTGTTATGATTTTTTAACTCAAAAGTGAGATTGAGAAATTTTTCTGAATGATAGGAACCACCCTCAAACACTATTATTGAACACGGAATGGCTTTGGAAATTCACTTTTGCTGTAGACTTGATAATGTTTCTTAATGAATTCAGCCTAAAATTACAAGGCAAAACAGTGCTTATTTGCAAAACTTATAATTCAGTAACGTCAATTCAATAACAATTAATGTTGTTTGAATTACAAGTAATGTCAAGCTGCTGGCGCAGTGGATAGAATGAAAGGCCTAGAGTCAGGAAGACTCCTCTTCCTGAGTTCAAATCTGGCCTCAGAAATTTACTAGTTGTGTGACTCTGGGCACGTCACTGAACCCTGTTTGCCTCAGTTTCCTCATCTGTAAAATGAGCTGGAGAAGAAAATGGTAAACCACTCCAGTATCTTTGCCCCCCCAAAAAAAAACAAAGCCCAAATGGGATCACAAAGAGTTGAATGCAATTGAAAAACAACTGAATAATTTTTCTTTAAATATGTGTGGGACAGCTTGGAATCAGGAAAGCTCATCTTCATGAGTTCAAATCTGGTTTCGGATATTTAGTGGCTGTGTAGCCCTGGGCAAGTCACTTAACCTTACTTACCTCAGTTTCCTCATCTGTAAAATGAGCTGGAGTAGGAAATGGCAAACCCCTCCAGTATCTCTGCCAAGAGAACCCCCGATGGGGCCGTGGAGAGCTGGACAGGGCTGAACAACAATAACGCAAAAAGATAAGGTCCATTCTTGAAGGTTTTTAAGGATGGAAGGAGGAGGAGGAGGCTTGATCACGTTTGAAGCCGGGAGGGAGGGAAGGAATCAGTGAGACGAGGCTCCGACGTGGGCCCTCCAACTCCAAGACCAAACCATCATTTTATCCTCTGGTAGTGTCCGTTGTGCCTTATTTTTGCCTTCACACCCTTGTATATTGCTTCAGTGTTTGAGTTATTTTCTGATCATGGGGGCTTGAATGTGTACATAATGGTTCTTGTTTGTGTTTTAAGAAATGTCTCCCTTAAGTAATGACTGAATATTGAATTGAAAATGTTTGTCAACTCACGAGTCTTCGTTGTGTGTTTATTTTGCCTTCCCTGGGAACCAAGCACACAGATTTCACTGCATAGGCTTCCTCGGTGAAGGCAGGACAGAATTAGTCATCGGTTAGTCACCATGACCAGGTCAAGAAGAGTTTGAACACTGAGCCGTTTATGTCGGGATAGTCCTGTTCTCCAGGACCTCCCCGGGGCTCAGGGGGAACTTGAGAATTCTGCAGTGGAAGGCCAGGGAAATGATGAAGAAAAACCCTTTCTAAAGCATATGATGCAGAGACAAAAAGGACAGCGTCACCAGACAACACAAAGGAGGGTAGCCCAAGGAGACGGGTCTGAAGAAAGTCTTTCTCTGAGAATTAGGATTGGGGGGTGGGGATGGGTTATGCTCTTTGTGAGTAGCATGACCAAGAGAAAAACAAGGGGTGTGGTGAGGGAGGGAGTCAAACAAAATGGTCAAATATTGGCCAGTTGGCAGCCCTCTTTGTGAGTAACTGAGATATAAGGACAAAAAAAAAAAAAGATATGATGAGAGGAAGAAAGGGTGTTTCAGCAAAGGCGAATTGAACAAACAATGAATGAGATGCGATTACATTACGGAAGTGTTCTTTCAGCTGTTCATAAGTTTAGACAGTTCTTGCTGTAAAGAGCCTTCTCCCTCCTGAAGTTTTCCTGGAGCACTTCGAGGGGACCTTGTCTTTGCCTCTGGTCATCTGCCCTATAATTAGGCCCATCCAGGTAGATGTCCCTCGCAGAATCCAAACCCCATTGAAGGCAGGAACTCTTTTTTTTTTTTATTTCCCTCCCTTCAGACTTAACAGGGACTTTACAAATGTTTACAGGATAGAATAGAACACAAAACTGATTTGAGCATCAACTCAAGTGTATACTTGGAGCTACGCTTCCTGTTGGTTTTGCGAGAGAAAACAACACCCTATGAGTGCTTACAGAACTAGAGTTTGATGATCTGCATTTCCAAGGTCTCAAGTCTCAACTGCTGCTTTCCTTGCTTTCTCCGTCTTTGGGAAAGGTGAGAGTGGCCGAGCTTTAAAGGTCCAGGCTGGAGTCCGATACGTGCAGCTGCCGGCTTTCTCGAATTTCGGTTTTTTCAAGATGACTGGAGATGCTGAGGTGAAACCGATCCAAACTCCCTTGTAAGTCCTGGGTAGAATTGCCATCCCCTTCTGCCTGTCCCCTACTGGAGTCAGGAGTACTTATGTGTAAGGCATTCTGTTCTGTTGGCCAGGTTAGGCCTTCAGGGCTTCTCAGAGCCCTCTTTCTCCATCAGAGTTTGGATCTGATTAGAAAGTGAGTTCACAGACTTCTCAAATTCCTGCTCCTGAATTTATGCAGGAATCTGGTCTTTTTTTAGGCTTCTTTCCTCACAAGCATGCAAAGCCCTCTCAGGAATGTCAAATTGCCACCACCATGTTGAATTTACTTATAGAAACTTAGAAAGTAGAAAAAACAAACTTAGAAAACCCCAGTATTTGAAAATCTTACCAACAATATGTTCCATGGTCAATTGCCATGAAGAAAGCAGGTCAGTACTAGTTAGTTTCTCCTTTAATCTTTTTTTTCATATCATTTTCATAATTGTCATTAATATTCCTAGGGTTTAGAATTTAGGTTGAAGGTGTTTGTCAGCCCTTAATGATTCCTGTGGATGGGTTATTCTTTACTACTGAGCAAGGGTTTTTTTTTTTAATCTTCAAAGCTCCTTTTTTTTAAGTAAATATTAACTGAAGCAGAGAGATTGAGGGATTTATCTGAGGTCAGATGGGTTGTTCATTTCAAAGAGAAGGTTAGCCTTCCTAACTCCCTGTCTCCCAATTTTGTGCTGATGTCACTAGTTCACAATCTCTTTGGAGAGTAAAGCGGAACATAAGTGATGAGTTTCCATTTTCCCAGTTCTGATCACTGTGTGATCAAAGTTAAGACTACTTTGAAAATTCCTTGCATACTGTGACTCTCCTCCAGTTGAGTTAGTGCTGAGTTCATTTCGGGAATCTTAATTCTCTTTGAGATTCTCAGAAGTAGAGGCAGCACAGCAGAGAATTTGGGATCAGGAAGGCCCAGGGTTCAGAGACCAGCCTTTGATGCCTCCTCAGTGTCTGACTTTGGTAACTCAGTTCATCTTGCAGGGCCTCAGTTTCTTCATCTGTAAATTAGGAACGACAGTACTTGCAGTGTCCTCCTCAAAGGATAGTTGTGAGTCAACTGCTTCGGAAATCTTACTGTATTTCTATAGATAACTTCTATAGAAGTAAGTTATTATTAATTTTTTTCTATTTTTTCAAAGGTCTTTAAACATCAATTACATGTACATGCTGACTCCCCTCATAGAGCATAAGTTCTTTGAAGACAGGAATGGTTCCCTTTTGGCTTTGTATCCTCAATGCCTACCACAGGGCCTGGCACAAAGAAGGTGCTCAGTAAATGTTGGTTGACTGATCAAAATAGTTCAGATTGTTACTGATAAGGACCTTTGCTGCTCATTGAGAAGTAATTAGTCTTCTATGATTTCAGGCAACTGAATTTAAGAGTCGTAGGGGAACTCACCAGCCATCTATGAAGTCTTCGAGACTTCACTGGCTATAAAAAAGGATCCCCCTCTACAACGCACCTGACCAGTGGTCATCCACCTCTGCCTAAAGACCTGGGACTTATGGGGCATCCAGGGAGGACTAGCACCTCTGGTGGGAGGGCTGCTCAACCAAGTTGAGGGTAAACAATGGGCTACAAACCTGTTGGTGAGAAAGGGGGGTGTCTACCCCAAGCGTGTGAAGATTTCCCCTGGCGTAATGTGTGGAGGAGAACAATTTGTTCCAACAGCCGTGAAGGCTGCTGAAGCAGGTGCTGTGGAACTCTAAGAGCTTGGTCAGACATGGAAGGCGCCAAGGACACACACTGCATCGTGTATGTCTCCAGTCATCCTGACTTTTTTCCTGCCTCTGGACTTCGATGACTCTGGAAGAGAGAATGAGGATGACAACTTTGTGCAGCTCTGCCTCACTTCAATCCAATTCATGCACAAGTCAAGATATCACCACATGATGTCATTGGTCCTCTTCAAAAACGAAGGGCTAACAAAGACCTCATCAGGCAGCCCTCTCCACTTTTGGGGCTCTCATTATTTGGAAGGATAGTCTAAATTTGATTCTCTGCAACTTCTACCCATTGTTGTGAGTTCTGACCTCTGGAGCCAAGCAGAATAAGCAGATGCTTTCTTCCATATGATAGCCAAGAAATGAACAAAGACAGCGATAGGTAATGTGATAATGTTACTTCCTACATCTCTCCTCCTCCTCCTTTCTTCTTCTTCTTCTTCTTCTTCTTCTTCTTCTTCTTCTTCTCCTCCTCTTCCTCTTCCTTCTTCCTCTTTTTCTTCTCCTTCACCTCCTCACCCTTCTCCTCTTTTCCTTCCTTTGTCCCCCTCCTCATCCTTCTCTGCCTCATCCTTCTTCTTCCTTTTCCCCACTTTACAGATGAGGAAACTAAGGCAAAGGTTAAGTGACTTGCCTAGGATCATACAGTAAGATTTGAACTCAGGTTTTCCTGACTCTAGGCCCAGGGGCTTTATCATTGCACCGCCTTGCTAGATATCCCCAGTTCCTTCAACTAGTCCGCCTCTGGCATAAACCTGAGGCCCTTAGCTGATTTAAGCATTCCCTCATGTCTCCTCTTGATTTCTCAGAGCAGCAGCAGAGACCTCCCAATCCCACCATGCTAGAAATGCGTTTGTTTTAGAAACCCCCTTGTAGAGGCCATTAATTCACCAAGACACCTGACTCCTGTGCGCCTGATAGGATCTAGTATAATACAATATTCAAATGCAGGAGAGAGAGGGCTTGAAAAGGCAGGGGATTTGAGAATTTGAGAATCATTATCTTGAATTCTTTTTATACTAATAATAAACCAATATATTGCAATAACTTAGACAATGAGGCCCCAGTTATGGAAAGCAGTGCTCAGAGGTACACTTTTAAATAGTTTTTTGTTGTCATCATTGTTGTTGGGTCTCCTCTGTCCAGGATTGGAAGTGCGGGGACCGCTCATGAACTTGGCCCCATCATTAATGGGCACAGAAAGTTGGACCTGCTCTGTTTCTGACATGGGCCGCTTCTCCCCTCCTTGGGCAACCTCGTGGCCCTCCATATCCATGGGCTCGTGATGGGACCGGACTCAATGTGGACACCTGATCAGCTTTAGCTCTAATGACGTTCAGAACTCCCAAACTCAAGCAATCCTCCAAACTCAGCCGCGGGGACTATAAGCACGCATCACTATACCTGGTTTTAAAACGGTTTTTTAAAGCAGTTTTTTTTTTAAGGTTGATGATTGACCTCATTACTGGAAGGCTGGCTGACAGAGGGGCAATTCTGTTGGCTACAACAACTTACAAAGGCTGCCTTCTAAGATGTGGAGGGAGAGGCTGTGGTTTGTGTTGGGGAGGGAGCTCTCACTCCCCATGATGAAATTGTGAAGTTTACAGAGTCCTGAAGAAGAAGGAAAAGAAGAATGCATGACTGTCTTGTACAAACTTAAAGTCAAAACCTGCAACCGAGACCATGAGGTGAATACCTCTCAAGACTGGGCTCCCTATCATTCTCCACTATTGATTAGGGAAATCAGCATCATGAAATTCAATTCCACAAATACTTATTAAAATTTAATTTATTGTTATAATGATAATAGTAGTGCATGCTATTGGCACAGTGCCTCATAGTTTGTGAAGCATTTTGACATACATTATCCTGAGCCTGTTTGGGTTGGATTCAATGGCCTTGGAGATCCCTTTGGACCTTCTGAGGGAGGCAAGGCAAGGATTATCATATCCATTCTATAGATGAGGAAACTGAGGCTCCTTTTAGTAACGTGATCTGCCCAAAGTCAGCTAGCCAAGAAATGGCAGAGCTGGGACCAGAACCCAGGTCTCTGAAGTCCCCGTTCAGTCTTTTCCATTCTTGTACACAGTGTCGGAGTGAAGCAGCTTAGAGGGGAGCAGACCTTGAAGCCCAGGGCTCCGGGTTATCCAGTTGGCAGACAGAGTCCACCAGTCTAGTTTGATTCCAGGGTGATTAACTCAATGCTAACAGTCCTATGTGGTTTTTCAGCATGTTCAAATGTTTGAGCCCCTTTCTGTTTCAACCCCAGAGCTGTTATAGCTTTCATCACAAATTACACGTTCTAACTGGATGATTTTGTCAACACCTCAATGTGGCTGTGAATCTGAAGCTAAGTGTCAACCCGGGTCTTTTTTTGGCAGTGGATTTGAGTGCATTGACTATCCTTTGACTCCCGCTGTGTCTGGAAGCCCAGAGAAGGATGCTTCCAGATCTGAATGTCCTGAAGATGCACCATGTTTCCCAAAGGAAGATTTAGAACCAGAATCCCTATTGGAATCCCTCTTGTATCGTGAAAGAGCTGACTCTGATGACCTGGAGGGTAAGTAGAGACCATGAATTAGTCAACTGCTTGTCCTTTTCGATACCTCTTAAATAAGATGTATCTTCTAACAGATAATTGGCATACTTTTGAGTGCAGATGTCAGAATTTTCAAACACCGTGGCCATCTGTTTCCTTCCCTACCACCCTATATTTTCTAGTAGGACCGATGGTGGTCTCTGGAGGATAATGTAGGTGCGAGCCATTGGTCCATTTGGCTACCTGAGTTCTAAATATGCCCTCATGTAGTCACCAATTCATATAATAATGGAGCTGGAAGGAACCTGAGTTCAGGCTCGACCCTCTTGACTCTGAGCTAAGAGGGAGGCAACTGGGTGTTGTGGCAAGAGCACCAGGGGAGGAGACAGGGGACCTGGATTTGGATTCCAGCTCTCCTACTTCTTACCTATGTGACTTTGAGCAAGTCACCTCTCTTGGCCTCAGTTTCCTCATCTGTAAAATGAGGGGATTCGATTCAGTCTAGGATCTCTTTCAGCTCTAAGTCTTATGATGAGCCTAGCATGCTCCAATTGTACTCTGCCCACACCCCTCTTTCTGGTCCCTAAATTTGCCTCTGCCTCCCAGGCCCATCACAGCCTTGTCAGTGCTCTGAATGTGAGAGAGGGAAAAAAGAATGTGGGATGGTTTACTGTGCTGATTTCTATCTGTGAGACAATTACAGATTTCACGAGGGTCCTATAAAGACGTAATGGAATGACTTCAAGTACTCTTGACAGGAAGTAGGGTGACATTCCGGTCCATTTGTCCCATTCTGAACATTAATCAGCTTGCTGTTCCTTTCTTTTCCAAAGAAGTAGAAACCAGTATGTGAGGAATACTGGCTTGTGGAAGTTCTTTTGATAGATAGACAGAGTAGGTAGACAGACTAAAGAGACAGACAGACAGGATAGACAGACGGGATAGATAGATAGATACATAGACAGGATAGAGAGACAGAGATAGAGAGAGGTAGGTAGGTAAGTAGATAGATAGATAGATAGACAGGTAGGTAGATAGACAGACAGGCAGACAGGATAGACAGACAGACAGGATAGATAGATAGATATGTAGACAGGATAGAGAGACAGAGATAGAGAGAGAGGTAGGTAGGTAGGTAGATAGATAGATAGACAGACACGTAGATAGGCAGACAGGATAGATAGGCAGACAGGATAGACAGATAGACATAGACAGACAGACAGGTAGGTAGATAGGTAGACAGATAGATAGATAGATAGGTAGATAGGTAGGTAGATAGACACACTACAGTTATCCCTTCTACATTGTGACTTTCCCCATTCCAATTTTGATATAGCTCAGGTTGGCATAAGAAATTAAATGAGAATTTTTTGGGAGTTTTACAGAAGCTGCAAATGACATGTGAAGGCCAGCAGACAATAAAAAAAAGTTTCGAAATTCATAAATGCATAAGATGTATGTATAGTATTATATAAAATCAATATATTTGATCATTTAGTACCATAATAATTTGGACTTCTTCTTTGGTATGAAGGGAAGGCCAAAAAATTTTTATGCAGATTTTCTAGATCGCAGGGGCACCGTTCCCTTCTCCCTCGTAATGGGGAAGGGATAAATGTAGATAGATAGCGATGGTCATACCTGGAATTTCATTAGGCTAGGGAACTATCTCAAAAGAAACTCTTTTTCCATCTAGGTCCTTAAGTGTGACCCTTTGACTCAAAGGCCACACTTGAGGACCTAAAGGGCCACATGTGGCCTCAAGGCGGCAGGTTTCCCACCCCTAATGCATAGCAGTAGTGGATCTTCAATGTATAATGATAGAGAGCTGCCAAAGGCGCTGAGAGGCCGGCCAACATGCTTAGAGTCTCCCAGGCAGTATATATCAGATAAGAGACCTAAATCCAGGTCTCCCTGGTTCTGAAGCTAGCTTTCTATCTAGTCCACTGCATTCTTTGAATTATTTTGAAGAGAAACTCTATAAATGAATAGATAATTATTTTAGTGAATCTGTTAAATTAATTTATTTTCTATCGTGTTTTAGGTTAGTTGCCCACAGCGTGCTAGGATAACAAAAGAGATTTCACTTTTATTTTATAAGCACCAAGCCCTCAAAAGCTTGCTTCAGTTATTTTTTGTAAGTGTGAACCCACGATTTACCAAAAAAAAAAAAAAAAAAAAGGTAAAATCGGTATTAATAATACATGAAACTTGGCCTCAAAGAAGAAGTATGAGAAGATACTTCTCCCTCTCTCTCCAGAGGTCAGAGGTCCATGGGCACAGAACACTGCAGATTTTTTTCAACAAATTGATCTGTTCTGCTAATTTTTTTCTCCTCTTCTTTTTTTTCTTCTCTTAAAAAAGTTCTTTGTTATAAGGAATGGAATTGTGAGCTCCTTGAGAACAGGGACTGTCTTTCACCTTTCTTTAGATGCCCAGTGCTTAGCACAGTGCCTGGCACATAGTGTTTGTTGTTCAGTCATTTCAGTCCCGTCTGATATTTTATGACCCCATTTGGGGTTTTCTTGGCCAAGATACTGCAGTGCTTTGCCATTTCTATCTCCAGTTCATTTTACAGATGAGGAAACTGAGGTAAGCAGGGTTAAGTGACTTGCCTAGGGTCATACAGCTAGTAAGTGTTTGAATCCGGATTTGAACTCAGGTCTTCCTGACTCCAGGCCCATTTCTCTATATCCTGCTTAATAAATGTCAGTTGATTGATTGAATGAATGAATGAATGAATGAATGAATGAATGGGAGGAGGTGAGTGAGGGACACAGGGAAATCTGAAAACAGAAGATATCAATAAAATTCTATGGAAAAAATATAAAATTAATTTCCTCTGCTGTTCCATTCCATTGTGCACAAAGTCCTCTGTGAAAACTGTGCATTTCCTGTGTTAAAGGAGCTATCACTAAGAGAAAGTAATTGTCTCAACCAAGGAAGGAAGGAAGGAAGGAAGGAAGGAAGGAAGGAAGGAAGGAAGGAAGGAATGGGGCTATGAACCTCAGGGGGAAACCAGGGTGGCCATGGCAGGCCCCGGCTGGGGCCTGCAGAGAGGGGGGATGGTGGGTGAAAACACCCAGAATGTGTCCTGCAAAGACCGTCCTCATCCCACTCCCTGTCACCAGTGGGCCCTGATTACAGCCCTGGGAAGTTACTGAAATGTCAATATTCTCCTGCGGTTGAAAGCCACAGACACCCCCATCCCCAGTGGCAGCTCCTCTCTGGGAGGGTGAGGCCATCCCTCATTCACATAGCTTACCTTCACGTGGCACTTCAAGATCTGCATGCCTTTATCTTGTTTGATCCTCACAACTACCTGGGAGGTAGGTGCTATTATTATCCCCGTTTTACAGATGAGAAAGCTGAGGCAGGCAGAAATTAAGTGACTTGCCCAGGGCCATTGAGGCAATAAGTATCAGAGGCAGGATTCACACCCAGGCCCTTCTGATTGTAAGGCCAGTGTTCCTTCCGATTTGCTACGCTGATTGGTCACACGTTTGTAATAAGCTCCTACAAAGCCCCGGGCAAGTCCTGGGTTGAGGACGGGGGAAGGCACCACTGTGCAAGACCTGAGAGCAGAAGGTTGGACCAGAAGCCTGTGGTACCAGAGGACCAGCCTCTACCTCCTCTGAGCTGCTGGCCCCAGACCCTCCGGTGCTATTTCTCTCTTGGCTCTGGCTCACAGAGTCGCCGTTCAGAGTTGGAAGGACCTTTGAGGCTGCGGAGTCCAACTTGCCCCCCGACCTGTGCTGCGGCACCCCTGACAGACGCCTGTCTCCAGCCTCTGCTTCAAGGCCTTCTGGGGGTGGGGGGACACCTGGGGAGTGGGAGGGAAGCCTCGCCCTCCAGAGGCGGCCCCTTCCCTTGTCGATTGCTCTAGGTGCCAGGAGCCTCAGTCTTCCTCTGCAGCTTCTCTCTCATTCCTGGGATCACACAGAGCAAGTCTAACCTCCTCTACAGGCTAGCCCTTTAACTTGTACACAGTGATCATTTCCCCCAAGTCCCCTCTTCTCCAGGCTAACCACCCTCAGCCTCTCCAGGGAGTCCTCATAGGGGATGTGGCCTGTCACTACTCTGGCAGCCCTCCTTCACACTCTCTGCTGGTCCCTTGTTCTGGATTTTCCTGGCTGCAGACCCTCGCCCAATATAGGGAATTTGCCCAGTTCCCTATGCAACTGCCTCGTCTATGGCTGGATGACTGGTCTGATGCCTTATCTGGCACTCAACATTTCTCTTATCACCCTCACCCTCCGGGTGGCTCCTCCAGACAGAATTCTAAGAAGAGAGCCCATCCTGGTCTGATCGGCCCATGACCTCGGCGCCTACTCCATGATGGTATTGGATGCAACTCCCCCTACTGACCCACCAAGTCAAGGAAAATGCAAAAAACTAGAGATTCTCCCTGCCTGGGGAAAATGACATTTTAATAAAAGGATAAGATATGCACAGAAAACTGTAATATGATTTAAAATATGCTGTCTAAAATATGATGAAGGATTTGAGGAGAGAGAGATTACTTCTTGAGAGAACAAGGAAGGTTTCATGAAGGGGGTAGCAGTTGAGTCTTTTTTTCCACCTTGTGCCTGTCCCTTTTTTTAAAAAAAATTATTTATTTTCAGCATTCATTTTAAAAAATTGAGTTTTAAATTCTCACCCTTACCCATTGAGAAGGTAAGCAATAAAATATCAATTATATATGTGAAGTCATGCAAAACATATTTCCATATTAGTGAAGTTGTAAGAAAAAAAAAGCAAGAAAAATAAAGTAAAAAAAGGATGCTTCAATTTGTACTCAGTTCATCAGTTCTCTCTGTGAAGGCAGACAGCATTTTCCACCATGGGTCCATTAAAATTGCGGTGGTTCATACCGTTGTTCATTGTTTAAGCTGGGTCATAAAGGGGAAAGCGGTGATTCTAGCAGGTGTGAATGTCAGCTCCAATCTGGAGAGGGAGTGGTGACCAATACATGGAGACAAAAGAGTTCAGGACAAAACCAAGGAACAGTGAAAGAATAG